GAAAGGTGGCAAAGGTAGCAAATCCACCTTTTATTCTGTGGTGGTATTTGTCATCCGAACGGTGATCAAGAAAAATGGTTCCTGCTTTTAAAAAAAATTAAAAAAAAAAAAAATCATGAAATAGCATTCAACACGTTCATTCCTAGAAAGTGTCTTTTTTTATAAAGCCAACATTTTTGGCTTTTGCACTGCTACTGTCCTGATTTAATTAGATTATGTTCCTTTTAGTTGTAGTTCAGTCATTTTCTTTCGATGGACGGTATTTCAATTTTAAGATGCTATCTATTCTAGTATGCCAATAAGGGTAATGCAATACTGTTGTACTTTGTAATGGATAAATTGAATGTTTGATTTTTTTAAGAGGTGGCTGTAATATAACTGTTTGTATGACTTTTAAAAAGTTTATATTTTCCATTTATTGGTGTGTAGTTTTCCATTTCTTAATCATTATTTATTATGTTTCATCAGACTCTAGTTGAATTTCTTATAGACAGCTGGCAAAATATAGCATATATCTGTATTAATGGCGAATTTACACTGTACATTTACACTTTGGAGAACAGTGGACTAATGGAAATGGTTTTTATTTACTTGCTAAAATGTATTTTTTGTAAAAAATAAAAATAACACTATATAAATCTGAGTTTGCAGGATCAAAATTTGTATGTGATCAGATGCGATGTTTCTGTTTATAAATAAATCCTATGCAGAACAGCTCATGTTTCTGGCTTATTTTAAGTATTCGGTCTTACGAGAAAGCTGGCTCGGTCTGGTTTTGGGCGCAGCAAGCATGCCCTCCGAGCAGGTAGGCATCCTAACTGAGCCCCAAACCGGCTGGCTGTGCTGCTTCGGACGGTCAGTTTTGAGCGGGGAATTCTGTCACCCAATTACAAGACTGTTACTGTGACAGGATTTGGGGCAAAACTGTGTTTCAGGGCCTCGTTAGAGGGCGGTTGTCTCCGTGGTGCTAAGGCAGAAGTGATGGGAACGCAAAGGTAAAGAGGAGGGAGGTGGGACCACCTGCCTCTTCGGGTTGACAGTGAGCTCTTGGATCAGGTCGGATCAGCTCTCCTGGTGAAATTTTACCCTCAGGCTAGTTGATCAGTTCCCCAGCACGAGAGGCTCAAGTTCTTTCAGAGAGTTCTGTGGCGGAGGCAGGCCGTTCCTCCCCGGCCAGGACTTGGTCGTCTGATACAGACGGCTGATAAGGAGGCTGGAACGTGCAAGGCGTTGTTGTGGGAAGGGTTGCACCGGTACGGAAACGTTCTGGCTGTGGAAAAAGCAGTGCTGTTACAACCCAGGGTATGTTTTAACTGAATTTCAAGGAAGTTCTTGGGTTTAATATATGGGTGTACTTCCACGCTTTCTGCTGCGTGAGTGACGTTTCAAGCCAAGCGCAAGGACTCGCGCCGTCCTGGCTTTCTAAGCCTAGTCATACTTGCATGGAAATCCTCATCGCCCTCTAGTTAGAAGTCCTCTTTCTTTTGAAAAAATAAAAATCTAATCTGTATACAGTAAAACTTCATTCGTTCTCTTCTGCTTTCTCACCTGTCGCGTTAGGCAGTGTAATAACTGGTGCGGTCTTCGGAGTACAAGTTCTGGCTCTAGCTGCGCGGCCAGGGGCTCTTTTCTCTCTTGGCATTGGGAAGAAGGCGAGAAGCAGCATCGCCGCAGGTGGTGGGGGAAGGAGGAGAAGTAGATGCCAGTTTCCAAGGATGTGATTTTTTATTCTTATTCCAAAGGGAAAGGTTTGCATTTGAAGGAAAGGGGAATTTTGGAGATCGGTTGGCCCTTTGACCCATTCTAAATGTAAAAACATCTCAAACACAGCAATGCCTTTTTTTTTTTCTTTCGGGGAGTGGGAGAGCTTTGGGCTTTGTTTGTTGTTTCTGTGGGGTTTTTTAACCGGAAGCAAGCTAGGGCAGGGCAAACGCCTCCTAGCCAGAGGAAAACGCAGGCAAAAACCCTGGCCAAAACGGCAACACGGCCGAGTTCCCGCGTTTCCCCCCCCGTTT